CCCCAGAGGGAGGAAACAGGAGTGAGAAGAAAAATAAGTCAGACACAGACGGAGATGGAGAGACAAAGAGATTGAAAATATTTTGTATTTTCCGCACACGGTTTTATAAGCGCTGCGATTTCAGCATTTTACTGCATTTGTACATAGATTTCTGAGCAACAAATTTACACCCTGCACCTCCTCCTCATCTTTCACTCTCAGAATGTAAACCTCACAGTTTGGTGCTGAAAATCAATAAGACAGCATGTCTCTCTGTAACCGAACAACTCTCACAGTAATCAGGTCACATGTGTATGGTGTATGGATTTCTGCATTTATGCCCTGTGAAGAAAAGCTTGGGAAAAATTAGACGTGTATGTGTGTGTGTGTGTCCCTAAGTGAATTTGTTTGTGTGGAAGTGGTATTTTCAGGTAGAAATGCTGAGGAAAGCCACGATAGCAGATAGATTTTGTTTCTGTGTTTTCACTGAGTGCTCAAATTTGGAAGGTGCTCCACTGTGGGTATGAAATGTCATGTTTAGCAGCTCATCAACATGAAGATTAGGTGTGTGTGTGTGTGTGTGTGTGTGTGTGTGTGTGTGTGTGTGTGTGTGTGTGTGTGTGTGTATAAAAGAGAGAGAAAGAGAGAGAAAGAGAGAGAGAGAGCGAGACTGGTCATTAGATCGAATATGAGCCTGGCCTGAGTGACTGAGTGATGAGCTTGGTGTTTTTATTCTGGACCAAAGCAGGCCTGGCCCAGGCTTAGATTTCACACACACACAATTTAGCCAATTCTCTGGTGAGAGGGAAGACCGAGAGAGGGGGAGACCGGGTGAGAGCATTTATAGGATGGATATAGATGGATAGAGGGCTTCATTTTTGTTTGGGGAGGAAAACTGTTTTTCATCATCTTTGAAACACAAACACACAAAGGTACACACACAAACAGGTATATATGCATACTGGCTGTGTCAGCAGACAGGAAGCTATAGCTTATACATAATTGATGAGTCTAGTCATTGATTACAAGTGATAAGTGGTATTGACAGGAGGTGTGAGGAGAGGAGAAAAAGTGTCGATGTGTAGGTTTATGTATGTGTTTTCCCAGTGGGCTGCAAAATGGCTGTAGAATATGTAATGGCCTTAGTAACACATTAGCTTACTAGACAGTAGGCTATTTTAAGTTTCAACATGATGTGCAACTCCAGACACAAGAAAAGGATCTTAAAGGATTGTTTTTCCCAGTTTTTTAGATGTCTCTGAGATTTCGACCCCAACAGTGATTTAATAGTAATGGTAATTTAATGGTGAGAAGATCAATACCACTCTTTTGTATGTATGTGTGTTTTGTAAGTAGCCTTATAACCAAAAGGTGTTTTTACATTTCTGTGTGTGTACAAACTAAACAAACAATATAATGTGTTAGTGAGCTTTAAATGAGCTGGAGAGCAGATTTTTTAACTCTAAATAGAGCTAGGCTAAGGGCCTGTCCTCACGAATACGCGGCCTCACCCAATACGATGTCGTTTCGAAAAAAATCTCCGTAAACACGGTGTCGTTTCCAGAAATATCTGGGTCCTCGCGGATTCACTGAAACGACCCTAAAACGCAGTAGTACATATGCCAAGCCTGTATGTGGCGCTGTGACACCGCCACGCCAATACACTAAAACCGGAAGAGAAGCCATGGAGCATGCCCTGTTTACAAACAAGTAGTAGTAGTCCGCCATTGTTGTTGTTGTTATGATGCGTCTAAAGGCGGTGGCTGAGGTTAAAGGCTAGAGAGGCGGGGCTAATCCGTTTTCGCTGTCCAGACGACTCCGGGCAATCCAGCGTTTTCGGATTTTCCCACTCTGGGACCCGTTTCCAAAAAATACCGTTTTCACACCCGAAAACGCCATATCCGTCTGGACACGAGGCCGATACGATAGAGTATTTATTCGAGAAAAACGTATTCGTGAGGACAGGCCCTAAATGTTTACTCCTGCTTCCCAGACACACATGCTGGGTGCTAGTTAGCTAACAGCTAATATATGTACACTTGGTAAATTGGCTGTTTGGTGCGAATAAAAACTGATACAGATGCCAATAATTTTCTCAACAGATTACTCAACAGCACACAATATTGTTTATAAAGTATAGTTTTAAAGTTTTAAGGCACAAAAAATTCAAAACTACCTGTAAACCTAGAAGAAGGGGGAAATGTGTTTTTGTAATTTAGGGTGAACTGACCCTTTAATTTATCAAGGTTGCACCCAGTTATACTCATGAAAGGGTTTTACAGTAAGTGAGTCACAGAGAATATCATTGACATAATTGACTGTATGTGAAACCCAAATTTGACAAACCTTGTTGATAGGTAGTACAGGGAGTGTGTGTGTGTGTGTGTGTGTGTGTGTGTGTGTGAATGTGTGTGTGTGCTCCTCTCCGTTTGCTCCTGAAATCACATATTATTATGCTATTATGTCCTATTTCTGTACACCACTCAATTGCCCATGAACTGAGGAAAGCAGTCTAAATGGTCTTTGGTCTCTGTGAACACACACATGGGCTGGAGGCTGCCTCTGACCTTTTGCAGCTCAGCACCTCTCCTCCACTATTCATGTCTCATCCCTCTCATTTAATCTGCCTCGCTCTTTTTCTGCTTCATTATGCTGTGTGCATTATTTTCTCGGTTGCTGTTCTTCCCTCGCAGACGCACGCAGATATGTGTGCTGTTACACGCGCGCCGCGTACACTCACTAATACAGCTTGACATGCCTCCCTGCTGTCATGGTGTGCTGAGCTGAAGAAAACGGCCGGGATTCGGTAACGGCTGACGAACAGCATGAGTGCGAGAAGAGGAGAAAGAGAGGGAAAGATAGGAAAAGAGGAGGTTGGACCAATTTTACAGTCCCTTTGTTATACCTACAGGCAGTAGGGATACACAGAGGGGCTTGTAAACAGGCACTTTTAAATTGAGTGATTAGTCTCATTTGCATTCAGGAGGGCAAACTCTGTTTTACTTTGGAATAGTTTTTCCAGGTCACTGCTTATAAAAAGTGGAGGGAATATGAAAGCAGGCTGCTTTAAAGTGATGCAGCTGGTTTAAATTGCGTCAGGTCAGCGACTCACCCCTCTGATCTGGGATCTGTGGATTGAAAGTATAGGTTCAAAGATTTGGATAGAAGGAGGATAACCTGAGAGAGCCACAATGTGTGTGATTGAGAGAGAGAAGAAAGAGAGAAGCAGCAGTCTCTGCAGATGGATACTGATTAAATATTGATGGTCAGCGGTGTTGAAGGCTTGATTAGAAACCGACTATGCCAAGCCCTTAACAAGCGCACACACACACATGCACACACACTGACAAGTGACACACACAGGTGGAGAACCTTGCCCCAGAATCTGAGCAGGTTTTCATTATGCCTCCCACTGGTCAACTTGCCACTTTCCTCTCTTGACTTTTCATTCTCACCCTCCTGCATCCTCCCTCCACCTCCTCCTGTCACACAGAGATCACACACAGGAAACAGTTCGGTGTCAGATGCACATTCATCCTCCTTTTGCTCAACATTTTTCTGGTTAAGTGACACTTTTATTGTATTAAACACTTTGTACATGTGGAAGTTGTTGATGAAATGTTTGCTTGCTTGTTGAAAGGGTTGGTTAACCCAAATGACAGAAACACATATATAAAAGGTCCAGTGTGTAACATTTAGGAGGCTCTATTGGCAGAAATGGAATATAATATGCATAGATATGTTTTAATAGAGTATAATCACCTGAGGAATCGTTATGTTTTTGTTACCATAGAATGACTCTTATATATATTATATTATTATATATATTATATCTACGGACACTACGGATCGCCTTCCATTAGGGCTGGGTACTGAGCTTCGATACTTTTATGGCACTGACCGAATTGCGTCAATCTTACCAAGTGTTAAAAAATGTCTTGTCATTTGGTACCGAATTTCAATACCAACTGGCTAAGACTCATCAGTGTTCGTGCACCCATGCAACAGGCGGTTAGCATTACATATCGCAGAATGTGCAGGGGAAAGGAGGAGAGACCGGCTAACTTTTTTTTCCTTTCTTTTTTTACTGCGAGCTGCATGTATACACAGACAACTAGTGAACGTTATGCTGCTTGTTAGCTAGCCAGGGCCGCTAACCTGTATCTGCTCGTTGGTGAGTCTGTTCACCTCATCGTCCGCCTGGATGAAATGTGGGTGATATTATTGTAATTCGGATGAATGGGCCACTTGAATGAAACGTGTAAAGCGATTCCAACCATTATAAGAGCTGGAGGCTGATGCTCTAATTTGTGTAAACTACCATAGGTTCCTGCTCATGGGTTTAACAGAGTGATGATTATTAAGACAAAAGCGGAGTATTTAGCCATTTATTGGAAAAAATGTGACTGGTTGCAATATACTGAGCATACAGATGAACAGCGAAGAAGAAGATTATGCTGCTTGTGTGGCTGGAGGAAATTTGAAACATTTTGATACATTTTATGTGACAGGAAAATGTCATTGTAACCACTCTGAATACAACTTGATCTCCTTCCTCCTTAAAGAACACAAGCATCAAAAGCCATTTTTCAAACCTTCAGGCGAGCAATTGATACTCTTTGGGTAGAGTGTCACTTCAGTGTCTAAAATATAAATGTAACTGTACAAAATATACTCTTGCCTCTGTATCTTGATGCTGTTTCACTGACTGACTTTGTGTCCCCTTGAACAATAACAGCTGCAGCACAACCACAGTAACTTAAAGTTGAAATTATAGGTTTATGCTGCTTGTGATTCCACTGCCGTCATACTCCAACACAACAAAAGACGCCCTTGTATGAGTTGTTTTATATAGGTTTAGGGAACAATATGACATTATGTGATGCTTGCAAGATAATATCGCTGCACACTGTACATGGAAAACATTATCATTATCTTAATGAAATTAGGGTTAATGCCACTTTTATTTCAGTATGTGTGTGTGTTAACATCCTTTTTCTCTCTCCTCCGTGTTCTTGCAGTTACGTTGCTGGACTCCATGTCGGCCTTGGCCGACCTGGGCTGGGAGGCTTACCCTAATGAGGGGGTGAGTATATGCAGGACAAAACACACACACAAACAAAAATCAACCTCACTTTATGCCGGGGCTAGCACCAAAAGAACAACTAGTGGGTTGTGTTGGGAACGAGCAAGGACTCGGAGTTAGGAGCAGCAGCACTGGAGTATGTGTTTTAGAGAGCCCTGGGTTCTTGAGCGCTCCTTGCTAAATCGGGAGCCTGCAGGGGGAATTTACAAATTATTTCCGCTGCACTGCAAATGCTGTGGCACTGGAGCCTCCATTTATTATGGGTCGTGATTTTTGGGATGGAGTGGAGGGGTAAATATTCTTACATAAGAGGAGGATGTTGTGTACGTGTTGGCATTATTTGCATGTGTGTGTGTGTGTGTGTGTGTGTGTGTGTGTGTGTGTGGGGGGGCGGTGTTGCATAACTAGCCTTTTGCAGGTATAGGGACCAAGGGAGTCTGGAGTGCAGCCACCATGCATCAGAAAATGACAACAGAGAAGTGAGAGGAGAGGAAGAGCGTAGAGAGCAAGAACGACGAAGCGCATTCAATGAAGAAATAAAAGTGGGTTCTGTATGTCACTCTAGCACAAGAGCTGCTGAATGGCGCTGAATTAATTCTATTTCCCCTTGAGTCACACTTCCTCTCCACCATTCAGCATCAGTGTGTTAAATTGCAGGATGCCACACGCGGTTTCATGGTTGTGTGCAGCAGAGAGGCAGCTCAAGTGAGCAGAGCTAAGCAAGGTTGTTTTCTCAAGCAAGCAAGGGTATCAAGTTCACTTTATTGAAATGCTCTGATTGTGCGGCCCTATTGTGGATATTTGTTTTTTCACTGAAGTCCTCAGGTCCCATCTGTTACTAAGCCAAAAAGTTCAGTCTTATTTTGAAAACCAAAGAGTACACAAGTTACTTTTATTGAAAATATGGTTCAGTTTGGAGTGGCTTAATCATGGCCCGCAAAAGCACATGTGTTGTTGGTTTACTCTCAAAGAAATGAGTTGGCTGGAAAGTAAAATATATATAATAAACTCCATCCTGTATATCTTTTTTCATGAGTTGTCAACATAGTGTGGATCTGGCATGTCCTCCCTGAATGTGTACAGAAACTGAGGGGACGCTGGCTCTGTGAACATCCACACAACTACTCTGTCAAGTAACTACAAAGAGAACAAATGTTTGATGACACAGTATCTACGGAGACACTATTAAAACAAAAGATTGTGCTTTGAGTTTCTTTACTCCGGGGTCAGGCACAAGCTTTATCAGCTGCTTTATCTCCAAGGAAATTATTAAATTGGTCAAAGCTGGTTCTTATTTTGTCTTGTGGTACACAAAGACGATGTTATCTTCCTCCTAGATAAACATGATCCTCCTCACTCTTTTTCAGTCTTGTCATTGTCAGTTAGGAAGGCAAATGCAGAAAGTGAACAGAACGAAATACATATAGCTGCTTCTGCTCCTCAAAATAGGCACACATTTTCCTTCAGTTATGACTTTGGCAGAAAACAAAAAATCTTGTTTCTCTTAAACAACTAGAGGGCAAACAGGCATCAAGCGAAACAAAGCAAGTGCAGCTGAAGTAGCATAAACAAACAAGAAAAGGTGAACTGAGAGGAATGACATGGCTCCATGAAAGGTTCCTTGAGTTCTACTTGTATTGTCTTCATTACAAACATAGAAGCTGAATCAACTTAACACGTTTCAGAATAAGTTGTAGGAGAAAAATAGGCTGTGCAGTGTCATATTAATGCTTCATTTATATGTGCTGTTTGTGAAGCAAGTTACCTCATCATCTGCTCTCATTCTTGCCTGCTGATTGGTCTGTACATACTGTACCTGCTTGGCTAAATAGATTGTTATTCCATGTTTACACTGGAATTATTTAGTCTGCTTAAAATAACAGAGCAGAGTCGAGAACATTGTGACATTGTGAAGCACCTATAGCAAATGTATTTGTCACTGAGTCAGTGGAGCAAAAGCAGGTTTGTGCAACAAGATATGGTTAGCAGATCAGTTTTAAATATTGCAGGGAGATGTAAGCAGAAACAGGGAGCTGTTAGATGAAGAGCTGAGGATGACAAACTCTTACTGTGGTTTGTGGAGCACATCTTGTTTTAAAACTCTTGTAACTATATCTCCTATTGAATCTGGTAGCATACGTCATAAAAACACTATAGAGACTTGCAGAGGCAGCCAATCCTGTTGGCGTTTGTTTAACATAGTTATACATATGTCTCAGAATTAATGATTTATTACAGAAATGCTACAAGGATCCAATCTATAGGAGGAGAAAGGGGAAAGGAGAGTGATAGACTGAGAGGATAAAGGTGCCAAGGCTGTGAGAAGGTCTTATGTTTTATATCAGGGGGATTATCTAGTTGACCTTTGAACTTCAAACCTGAGGATTGGTCTCAGCAAGAGGCAATTCCCACCAATCTGAGACCACTGTCTACCTGAATTAGTCCAAAACCACACTTGACCCCCACAGGTCACACTTAATCCAAGCCGTACGGGGCCGGATGTGCCTGAGACTCCGTGGAGCGACCCACTTCTGTCACCGGGCGGGGGTGTTCCTTGTGAGGGACACAAAACAGATACGTCTTAATGATGTTTGAAAATGGGAGGCCCCACAGCGTCTCTACTCCCCCAGAGCCTCCTCGGCCCTCATTGCTTCCCCTCCTCTTTCTTCATCTTCCATCTTTGCTCTTCCCTCCCCCTCTCCGTTCTCTATCCCAGTCACTAAGCCAGAGCTTGTTCCAGAGTTTGGAGGCCAATTATGTGCTCGTAGGTGTACCCATCAGATGATTGCAGAAGGAGGGATATTATGTTAAGCTTGTGAATGGTTGAACTTAAACCCTGATCCGACGTCTCTGCTTCACTTCAAAGCAATCAAGCGGGTTCCTTGCTGATTGGCTGAGGTGATTGAGGGTTCAGGGAGGAGGGTCTCATTCTGAATGTTAATTAGTGTTCAGACTGAACCAACACAGGCAACAGTTTTCATTTTATGTGTGTGTGTGTGTGTGTGTGTGTGTGCAGAGAATAAAAAGAAAGGGAGCTTAAACTCCCTTAAACTCCTATCCAAACATTTTCCCGGTTGTGTTTTTTGGTGGATTTTCTCCCTCAAGTGGCTGGTGTATCATTAGCAAATATGCAGGCGAGCAGGTTGTGTTCATGATCATAAGCACACCTGTGCTTTACGGCAGGCAAAAGTGACAATGAACAGACTCGCCAACTGGGGAAATAAGTCGCTCACCAGGAAGTGGCAGTAATCCAGCCACTCCAAACTCTGCCTACAAAGAAATAAACAAAGACATCATAAAACCCTCTTTATCCCTCAATGACTATTCCCATAAATGCTTTAATCACCACTCCCTGGGGACTCAGCTTTTGTGTGTTGGTGTGTTGGTGTGTGGGTGTGTGCGACCGTCCTGTGATGTCCGACTGGTCTCAGCTCTGCACAGATGGGTCTATTTAGCTGCCAGGCGCGCCTGTAATTTACCAACATTCATTCCTCTCTCTCCTCTCGTCTCTCCATTCCTCCCTCCATCTCGTGTTTTGTTCTTTTAATTGAATCGAGAGTCGTTGATCATAATGACTCTCAGTCGCCATGTGCGCACAATGTCGAGCATGATTCCAGCGATACATCCTTTATCTGTAAAACTCTGACGGTCGGGGACGTTTGTGTCAGCTGCCTGCAACAGCTTAAACAATGTCCTGCCCTGTCTTTCTTCCCTCTTCTACTTCTACTTCCTTCTTTCTGTGTCTGTGGTTGAAGGACTGTTGGGTCACGATCAAGAGAGAGCTGGTTTTGTTCGAGCTCCAGTTCATACACAGCAGACGTTTCTCTGTGGGGATTAAAAGCATCTGAGAGTGAGAGAGAGCTGGAGAGAGTGTGCAAGTCTATGTGAGAATGTGTGGTTTTTTATGTGGGTCTGTTTTAGTGCTCAGGACTCGGAGGTGAAATGCGTCAAGCTTTTGCCGGGTTGTTGGGCCGTCACATCAGATTAACCTCAAGAATCCAACCTCAGATCGGACTTGTCTGAAATTTTCTCTTTGCCTTTTTTTCTCTCTGTCTTTTCTCTTTTCTTTCTCTTCACCTCAGAGTTCATCTACCATTCCACTTTCATTTGAAATTCAGGACATTAGGGATGATGGGTAGTTACTCCTGCAGGTCAGGTGCGTATGCACATGTGAGTGTGTGTATACGTATGCGCTCAGGCCTGTACTTATGTATCAGGGTTCATGTAAACACATGGTTGGACTACTGTAATGTGATATGTGCTCATCACTCTGGAGCTTACAGCTTCAGTCTTGAGATGATGACAGGAGCTCAGAACAAAGATGGTGGTCCTCTCATCCCTCACCACAAACTAGGACTCATCCAGTTTGTGTGTCTATGATTAAGTGTGTGTGTGTGTGTGTGTGTGTGTGTGTGTGTGTGTGTGTGTGTGTGTGTGTGTGTGTGTGTGTGTGCTAAGAAAATCCAGTTAGCTTCCCAGTTAATGAATCAGATGTCTTGAGACACTGAAACCACATTAGTTTATTTTCCTTTTCCTTAAAGGAATAGAAATGTTCTTTCTCTTTCTGTGTGTGTGTGTGTGTGTGTGTGTGTGTGTGTGTGTGTGTGTGTGTGTGTGTGTGTGTGTGTGTGTGTGTGCGTGCGAAATGGTATATGTGTGTGGGTAGATAGAAATGTTTTCCTGCTCATGCGAGAAGTGTTCTCAATTACTGCCTTAGTCAGAAGTGGAAACAGATGGTAGCAGATGACGGGAGACAAAGTAGCTCTGTCCTACCTACTCCTTCTCGCTCTCTCTCTCTCTCTCCATCCTTCTCTCTGTGTGTCTCTCTCATGCACACACTTCTACATCTTAAGTGCTAAATCACACATTCCCGTTAGAAAAACATGCTCACTCTGTGCACACGTGCAGCGTAGACAAAGACTGTCCTTCAGTCATCTTGACACAGATCATCACTCATATTCACCCAGACATGAAAACAGAACATGCAGGCTTAGCATTGGGTTTGCATGAAACCACAGTTCATTGAACTTGGGCCCACTTTCCACATAAGCATCTTATGGACTGAGATCTCCTTTGTCCATTGACTGGCGATGAAATAAGACGATCTTACAGCTGAGTGTTGCTGTTGTCAAGCCAGCCCTGTGCTGCTGAACATAACTTCAGCCCTGGCTACACGTCCACTTTGTCTTTGATTTGAAAGTTTCGGTTAAAAGGATTTTCCCCGTCAATGCAAGCACTCCTCAGCAGCCCTCACCTCCTCTCTTTTGCATTCTCCTTTCCTGTCATCTTGCTCACTCATTTCTCCCCTTTCACCCTTCCTCTACCTCCTCTTTTCATCACTTAAAAAAAAAAAAAAAAATCCCTCTTAGTATTTTGACATTTTCTTTATCCTATTCTCCCACATTTTCTTAGTATTTACTAACACTCTCCACCTTTCTCACTGATTTCTACCTTTTTCCTTGCCCTTATCCCATTTCTTTATTATGCTCTCCATCTAAAATAAAATTACATCTGATAAATGTCAGAGATCCCAAATCCTAGTCGGAAATTTCACGTTTCAGGCACTAACATAAACAACTATCTCTTTCATCTAGTAGACCCACTCTGCCTTGTCCTTTCTCTCTAAACCTCCTTCTTCTTATCCTCAGTGGGAGGAGATCAGTGTGATGGATGAGAGAAACACCCCAATGAGGACCTACCAGGTGTGTAACGTCATGGAGGCCAACCAGAACAACTGGCTGAGGACGCGTCACATCAGCCGAGAAGGAGCGCAACGCGTCTACATTGAGATCAAGTTCACCCTGAGGGACTGTAACAGCCTGCCTGGGGTCCCTGGTACCTGCAAAGAGGTCTGCATCACCTCACACACACACACACACACACACACGCACGCACACACACACACACACACACACACACACACACACACACACACACACACACACACACACACACACACACAGGATAATACACAAGCAAGCTTTTGAACACACACGCAGCATGGTGGCAGATAACAAATGTTTTTGCAACTTGTGTGTGTGTGTTTAAGCCCCCCTGCCTGGTGTGTTTGTGCTGCTTGTTTTGTTCGCTCTTGGTGAGCAAGACTTTGAGTTTTGACCTGCTCCATGGGTGTTGGTGTTCAGCTATGTGGACTCTTTCTTTTGGAGGGAAGCTAGTAAAAACAAAAACACTTTTCTGTTTTGGAGTTCAATAGCACAGGACTAAGTTTAATTTGTAACATTGTTGAGGCAGAAATTGTTTGTAGTCTGGGGTCTGTCTCAGAAAATCACTTCTGCAAAGCTACAAAATATCCTCTGGCTATGCAGTGCTCTTAGCCTTTTATAATGTAATCAGTATTTCTTTCACTTCTCAAATATATAGCTAACTTATTAGATACATGCTGTATTTTTCATAAAAATGGCAGATTAATTGAGAACATGAATTAGTTTACAAATTGGAACAAATCCACCCTAAAGCACACACAGTGTGCTTAGCTAATCAAATAAATCAGCAAATTAACTTTAACTTCAACTTCTCTGCATCTTCTATTGAACCTGCCTGATCTTTATATTTTATCTGATACTATTATGCCGTATTGTTTGCTTTTGCGGCACTCAAGCAATAATTAACATTAAAGTATGAGAAACAAGCAGGAGTAACGTGAAGCAGGACCACTACAAAGGTATTTTTTGTTCTTAGACAAGGTTGAACATGGATTTAAAAAAAATAATTTATTGTTTATGGCATGCAACCATTTTACTTAAGTACAGAATATTGGATGATAGCACAGAATATGACAGCAATCTGCCCATTATTAACATATATATTAATGTAATGCCTGTCAAAAGGTTTTTGTTCGTACTATAATTATTGCATGGTGTTAAATCAATGCTTATTCTGCACATTACACTGCAGAGCAGAAAAGAGTTGTTCAGTCTTTTCCATTTAACACACACACAGATGGAAGTTCACTTTGATGGCTGATGAATAGATAAATAGACAAGAGGCGGGAAAAGAATGACATGAGAGAATAGCTGCAGAATGAAACAGACGATGCTCTAGAGGCTTCTTTTGTGGCTCCTCGTATATTTTAACTTCTGATATATTTTTTTACTGTCCCCTATTCTCTCATATCAGCCTGATATCGCTGCTCCTCTGTATTCATTTCTCTCTACTTTGTCTGCCCTCTGCACCCTTTTCACTCTCATTACATCTCCAGAATGAGTAGTGGAGATAATACTGCATGAGACAGTACAGAGCTGGGCTTTCATGAAACTGCAGACAGTGTTGCTGACTGGCCATCGAGACAGATGGACTGAGATTTGAAGAGAAGCAGCAGAATAGCTGCAGAGCTATAGGGGCCTTGTTAAAATTTCACATTGGATGGACTTTCTCTCTTTTAGCTATCTAGCTTTACTGCGTGTTATTCTTTTGTGTCTGATAACTACCATTTCAAGAGTCTGAAAGGTGATGGTTTGTTTTGTTTTGCAGACATTCAACATGTACTACTACGAGTCTAACAATGCCAACCTGTGGTTCATCAAGGAGAGCCAGTATGTCAAGATCGATACCATTGCAGCAGATGAGAGTTTTACACAGGTATGAACACACACACACACACACACACACACACACACACACACGTATTGTATATACAATATGTAAACATACACTGTGACACACTCACATACGTACAGCATGTACACATACACAACCTAAAATAGGGAATTACAAAATACATAGTAATGCAACAAGCAAAGATTTCCAAATCACTGAAGTGAATGTGAATGTTATGTTTGGCCAATGTTTTGTTTGTCTTTAGTCAGGATTTTTACCCTCTGCCCTGTATGCTGGTTATCTCTTATACTGTGTTTTCTATACTTTTATATAATTATATCTGATTCTCAAATAGAAGAGTTGCATTCCAAAGTTCACAAAAGCAAACTCACCATTTGCCACATTCTCTTAGAAAATAAATCTGGGTTTGAATGTGTTATATTTAAACTTTTATTATCTTATTCCATTTGCTTGCAAAATTGTCAGGAGGACATAATTGTATTTCTGTCTTGGAAATGCAGTTTGAGTTTCAGAGTGAGTCATGATTTTCAGGCAGCAACATTTTATCAAAATAGATTTGTAAATTTTTCGACTGAAAAAGAAAATGCTCTAAATGTGAATGCTACCTTTAAAATGAACATGACATGTAACACATGTAAAATGTCTTTTGTCCACAGGTGGACGTTGGCGACCGTGTGATGAAACTCAACACAGAGGTGCGTGACATCAGCAACCTGAGTAAAAAAGGTTTCTACCTGGCCTTCCAGGACCTGGGGGCGTGTATTGCCCTGGTCTCAGTCAGGGTCTTCTATAAGAAGTGTCCCCTCACTGTGCTCAACTTGGCCCAGTTCCCCGACACAATAACGGGCGGAGACACAGCGCTTGTAGAGGTCCACGGCATGTGTGTTAACTCCTCTGAGGAGTTTGAAGCTCCCAAGATGTACTGCAGTGCAGACGGAGGCTGGCTGGTTCCCATTGGGAGGTGTGTGTGCAAACCAGGCTTCGAGGAGAACAAGGACGTCTGCCAACGTGAGTGGGGTGGGGATCCGGTGTGTGTGTGTGTGTGTGTGTGTGTGTGTGTGTGTGTGTATGCCTGGAATGTGTGTGTGAGAGGCAGAGAAGGATAAATTTAGAAAGCGAGAAAGAGATATGTGCATGATGCTGTTGTGTATTTGCTTTAATGCTTTAATGTATCTGAAAGTGACTTTATTATTGCACAATAACACCTGATTGTATGTTCTATAGTGTCTATCACTGTATGCACCGGTTGCGTAAAGGTTGTCCTTCAGAAATGAAAGAAACCAATTACTCCACCAGCTTAAAAAAGTGCTCTTATAAGCAGCATTCATATCCATTCTGCACACTGCGTCGTGAATATGTAATGTGTTAACATGAGTGTGTGCATCTGTGCATACCTGTGTCTTTGCTGAATGAGCGTGTGCAGAGGCATTTCAGCACTCTATGAATTCTGCTGTGAAACAGATCATGGAATGACAATGACTCTGCTTATGTAGGTTACTGATGCACTTTGCGTGTGTGTCAGCATGGGTACTATCACTCCAAGTGACTTTTATACAGCTCCTAACACTGCGAGGACAGTTCTTGCAGAGAAAAGGGTAGGAGTTGCTTTGAGGCATCTTCTCTTTTTCTTTTTTCTTTTTTTCTCGAGTGTGTGTGTTTGTCACAGCTGAATATCTCCTTTTCCCTGCTGAGTAGGGGAGAGCGGTGTGTGAGTGTGTGTGTGAGAAAACGCTTATTGATGTGTGTTTGTGTCGTAGGTATGCCTTAGGAAGCGGATTATTGAATCGTATAAAACTCCACAGATGGCGTGTGCAGTATGTGCGCGTCCGTATGCGTGTGTATGCATTTGAGTGCGCAAGTTGTATTAGGCTCACGCCGTCACCTGTCCCCACAGGCTCACTTCCTCCCCAAAAAGAAAATGGAATCATAGATATTCATCACTGCAAACTTGGAAATCAGTGCACACAATGCAATTTCAGTTGTTTTGGAGAAGCGGCAGCCAAGACACCCAGAAAACTTGGCAGTCGGGCCTTAGAGACAAGTGAATAAGAACAGAAGCCACACTCTGCAGTTTGCAGGCTGGTAATGTGCACAGATTGTGGCAGAACTCTGGCTGCATCTCAATCATGATACTGTGGAGCTACATGTCTGTCTTGTAAAAATGACAGGCTATGGTTATGTGACACGTGATCTCACTGACAGGTTTTCAAATGATTTGAATACCTACAGCGGCTAGACCTATGTCACACTCCCTCTATTCAAACTTTATTTAAAGCCAGTCTGACGCAGCAAAGCGGTTGACCTCAGTGATCTCCATGACCTCATCAGTCTCTTTGGTCTTACCGCTCCAGAGAGAATAAATAGAGCGATGTAAGCGCGTTTAACAAGCCAGGTTTAACTCAGTAACAGCGTGCTCGTGTATGTGTGTTAGTACATGTGTGCTGTAGTCGTGTGTTGAGGTAATGATGGACTCTTATTGACAATCTGAGGTCATGGGTCAGGAAATATATGGGTCCCTCGTCTAATAAGTTATGGTCAGCGCAGATGTGGGTATGTGTGTGTGTGTGTGAAGGAAAAACAGGTGCCCAGTGTGTGCAGCACAGGAAGCAAAGCCAGGTTTTTGGTTTCAGTTCATCTGAAGGCATATTTTCTGGTGTAGCAATTGTTCTGAAAAAAATCAACTAGCATTTTCCAATAGATTTTAATTCCTTTGTGGTGAATCGAAGCTTCTCCGCCACAGGGTTGTCTGCGCCACCTACTCAGCATTAGGGTAAATATTTTTGCGGCATCTTGGGATTTGCATAGCAATTAAATTTCCTTCTCATACAGCAGGAGAATTTGCTGTCCCACGTATGTCAGCCTAACACATCTCATATTTGTTTGTTGCCTGTGAAATAATGCCAGATTCACACCCTGGAAACCAGCTTACTTTTGGGCTTTTTTGCCTGCAAGTGCCTCTGTTCTGATATTGTTCCCTTTCCCTCGTCAAAATTTCACTTAGGCAACTAATGTAACTGCATCTGTAATCAGCCTGCTTTTAACAAAGACATGAGAGGACACAGAGAAGTACAACAACCCAGTGCGTTGAGCTTTAATGTGTTCCTGAGAGAACAAGGGCCAGGCTTTTAAAGAGTCCTCTCAGCGCTCGCCGTCAGCGCAAAACAAAAGGTTCCTGCCCTGACACTGTCTGCAGGTCTTCCATAGGGAAAACACACTCCGCTAATGCATTTAAATCAGCCTCTCTCATTTGCTGTCGCACAAAGAGATGCAGGGGTGAGGTGAGGGGAGCGAGAGCTGGGGAAAGGACTGGAGGGGCATTTGTAATTATCATCATTGTGCAGGTGAACAAGCCTTTTAATGGACGCCTTGAATTCCCTTTCTCTTGTTCTTTTTTTTTTTTTACTATTTAGCAGCTCTGATGCTCATTGTTTTCTTGATCTGATGTTCTGTGTGAATCTTCTCGTAGTGACTTGGCCTCTCAAGCCTCCTCTTTTTGTCTCTGTGTTACTGTTCTTCTCTCCCTCTGACTCCCTTTCTCTCTCTGTCTCCGTCTTCACTCTGTGTCCCTGTCTCTCTCTCTCTCTCACTCTCTCTCTCTCTGTGTGAGGCGCTAATGGAATCATTACTAGCCTCTCTGTGTTAGACAAACACCAGACACCTCCAATTACAGCCTTTTTTTCTCATCCCTGGCTCTTTCTCCTCTTCTCTGCTATTTTCTAACCTTGCTCTGGTGTCTGCGTCTATAATAGGACTGTCCCCCCCCCTCTTCCCCCATTTTGTTCCTCACCCATTCTTTCTGATATTGTCTTCCTTTTTCACCTCACCATTTTTCTTTCTGTCTCCATCCTCCTCTTCCTCATCATCTCGCGGCCCTCGTCTCCTCTGTCTGCACTCGTTAAACATTTATAGATCACGGGTTCATCTTTCTCTTTTTCTATTTTCCCACCCCATGCTTAGCCCTTATTCCCTAAAGTGAGGCACAAAGTGTGTTTAAATGTGTGTGTTGGTTTTGGTGTTGTTAATGCTGGACAATGGATTTGATTAAATCTAGTGAAATGTTTTATGACAAAAAGTGATGTTACTCGCACAGAAAGAGGGGCTTCCAGTCTCCCAGTACAAACAAAGCAAGTAGTGACTGACTATATGAGAGGAAATAATGTGATTCATCGAAAATGTGGTCTACATTTTGAAACACAAGCACCAACAAGTGACCTGGTTGTCATACCATATCATAACTGATGTGATTATGATATATTGGTATTTTGTAAGATAAGATGAAGATAAGGTTAGCATTACTCTATGTATTTTCTTTTTGGCAACAAATCTCATTAAAAGACCAAAACCAATTAACTGTTCACAGTTCATTTTGTGACTTCCCTAACCTGCATGTGGTGCTCACTCTCAGCCCATTCACTGCTACTGAAGACCGGAAAAAAAAGATCACAAATATTCAATTAAAATGTATGAAAAGGTCAAGTGATTTAAATGTGGCTTACAGGTTCTTTAGCTTTTTACATTTCTCCAGCATTGATGGGCAAAGACTGAAAGATTCTTAAGGTTAAAATTGGAAATAACTGGAATCAGGTAACTGTAAATGAACCACATGAACAGTATCTTATTTTTAATAGAAGTAGCAAACCAGTAGATAGTACATATCAATTTGTTTTAAAGGAAATCATAAAGTAAACTATGGGACCTGTAAAATAAGGTTATAGTCATTTACTAAAAGAGACGGGCACTACAGTTTTTTAGCAAACGTTACTCAAAGAGGAGTGCATTTGTTGGGGACTATTTTTAGCACCGGCTTAATACACATTTGGTGCTCTATTGAGCAGGATGGTATGTGTGGGACTTAAAGGTCCCGTGTGTAACATTTAGGTGGGTCTATTGTCAGACATGGAATATAATATTCATAGGTATGTTTTCATTAGGTAGAATGAGCTGTTTTCATGTACAGATGCTGAGGAAGAACACTAGCTGTAGGTAGGGTCTTTTGCAGTTTGAGTTTCGCAGCCATCGTAGTCTTTCCTTCACACCTTACAGCCTCTCATTCCCAGGTCGTCAAATACAGATGCCAGCGGTGTTTAGTTAGTTGAAATCTGCAACTTAACCACTAGATTCCAATAAATCCTTCAGGCTGGTCCTTTAAAACTATGTTTATAGTAACTGAGGGAATATTGCAACCAGTGCAACCGGATGACCCACAGATGTGCTTTAATCATTTTTGGGCAACAAAGGAGCTCTATGGCACAAAGGAAAAACCTTCATAAGACTTTTGCTACACAGACAATACTCTTAGTAAGATCAACGCATTATTGGTTTTAGTTTGGTATTGTGTTATTTCCCTTAATTTTTTTGATTTACTATGGTGTCCAGTTAACACACTGCTGCTCCGATGTCGGTGGCTCTGATGCTCAATTACATGAAATCACACTCTGTGTGCTTTGTCACCACTGGAGTTACATAATCGTGCTCTCTCTCTCTCTCACCCTCTTATTCAAACACATACTCTCTCACTCTCTGCCTCTCTGTCACATACATTTGCACAGCCTCGTCAGTTCTCCTCCATCTCTCTCGACCCCATGCAGAGGCCTCTATCTGTGCAGCCGAAGCCCCCCGCTTTGTTCACTGTCTTGCTTTCTTTTCCTTCTCTCCCTCTCTGTTTCTGTCTGCCACTGTTTCCTCCTCGCCCTCTATTTCCACTTCCCTTGCTCTCCTCTGCTCTTTCTCTCTGTCTCACAGCTGGTAGGGAATGTAGTGAATTCTCCTCTCAAACCTCTCCTGCGTTAAGCCCTAGGGGTACATGCTGAAGGGCAGGAGTGTGTGTGTGCAGCAGTGACTAGGTGTGTGTTTGTGTGTGTGTGTGTGTGTGTGTGTGTGTGTGTTCTGTCCTTCTCTGTGTGTCTGACAGCACCAATTACTGCCTCAGATGGCTGAGAGATGGAGGAGACGGAGTGGAGAAGGACAGACACCTGTCACCTCGACACAAGTTCTCTTGCTCTCATCTC